ACTCCTGGTTTTCCTTGATGAACTTTCAAGTATTTTTGTTTATAAAGATAAACTGGACTGTATTAAAATTAAAAGCTTTCTTATTCAATAAAACACTATTAACAGACCTAAAATATTTACAAATAATTTTCTGATAAAGGACTTATATCCAAAATATATAATCTCAAAACTCAAAAACAAGAAAACAAACAATTCAGTTTTTAAAAAATTGGTCCAAAGATTTGAACAAACATTGCACCAATTAAGATATTTAGATGGCAAAGTGTGTTTAACTTTAGTGATGGATTAGGGTGAGATGTGAGAGGTTTTTTAACAGGCAAGCAAAAGTAACACAGTCCAGGCAAAGCTGCATGTCATCTGGATCATGGTTGACGAATGGAAAATGTATCTGGAATCAAAACCCTTGGTGACCTATGGACAGAAATATTTCAACTTCCTTTCTTTCAGCTTGCTATACAAACAACTATGCTAATAAGCCTCTTTTAAAAGTGTGCATGTTCCCACATGGATATTGCCATATGCAAAACAGATGGCCAGTGGGAATTTGGGGTATGATGTAGGGAGCTCAACCCAGTGCTCTGAGACAGTCTAGTGGGATGGGATGGGGTGGGACGTGGGAGGGAGGTTTAAGACAGAGGGGACATGTGTATACATGTGGCTGATTCATAGTGATGTGTGGCAGAAGCCAGGACAATATTATAAAACAATTATCCTCCATTAAAACATTTTTTTTTAATGTTTGTAGTTTAGCTGAAATTTATGCTTAGAAAGATTTTTGGAGCCATCCACAAGACATTTCTTATTTTAGAGTTGAGAATTGATTTGCTTCTTGGGAACAGGTGGAACGAAACCCAGATTCCCTGATGAGCAGGCCACACAGCCACTGAGGTCTAATTTTGTTGGTTTTACTAGCTGAACTGGGGGCAAGTGGCATGTAGACAGATGGCAGTCACTGATTGAGGGAGGTCACCCACACGTTCGGGAGCCTCTGGGCACAGAGCGATTGATGAGTCTGTAAACGGGCCCTTTAATCTCTGTGTATGTGGTTTAAGTGGCTAGGTGTGCTCCTTTCAGGTGTGAGAATTTACTCAGCAGGCAGAAGCTGTTTTGTTCCGTTCCTTCAGTTCAATGTTCATACAGCATGCTGGCTTTAGTCCAGAGTTTTCTTTCTTCCACCAAGACATGGAAGCAACCAGAGCGCTCCATCAACCTTGCTTGCCTTGACGCCACTGATTTCATAAGCAGCTGCCTACAATAAATATTCAGCTGCTTATGTTTTTGCATATCTTACATATGCCAGCAGGTTCTGCAAATTTTGGTGTCATTGACCACCGTTGAGAATCTGATGGAAGTTATGAGTGTTTCCTCCTAGAATAAAGGGTGTTTACAAGCTTCTGGAGTCTTCTAGACATCTCTGGGGAGAGAAGCTGATTAGGGACATGGAACAGTTCTTTTAAGCAGAATGAGGATCCAGTTCATGCTATTCACCCTATAAACCATCAGTTGGTGATGTCCCCACACTTTGGGGTAATGTGGTTTTCCCAGCTGACCTTTCCTGTCTGGGTGATACTGATTCAAAGGTGGGTATTTTTTAAATGTTTTATTTCAATTATTATTTTGCAGCACTGCTTGGCATGCAGGATCTCAGTTCCTGGACCAGGGATGGAACCCATGCTCCTGTAATGGAAGTGAGGAGTCCTAACCACTGGCCCGCTGGGGAAGTCCCCAGAGATGGATTTTGACAGGCTGGGGGCAGCGGGAGACCCTGTCTGTGAGTGTATGTGAATTGTGGCCACTCCTGGGAATTGTGTTTGAAATAAATGAGTGACCAGATCTCGAGTAACCAGGAAGGATAGGGAGGGAACTCAAGTGGAGATGGAAGGGCTTCGATGCTTGGGAGGCAGACAGGGGTAGCTGGTGGCTGGAGAATCTGTTTGGTTGGAGTTGAGAGTAAAAAAGCAGTGGACACAGGGTGGAATTTCCGTGCAGGATTGCAGGATTGCATGAGAGCAGCACCTCTGTGTGGTGACAGGATTCAGGGTGTACCCATAACAGGGGGTCACTCAATGGGTCTAAAGTGTCAGTTGTCACTTAGAAATGCAGAAGCTGTCCAGGAGGCATGTGGAATGTGAGGGGAGAAGCCTATAAGATTGATGATAGGGATTTCGTGGTGGTCCAGTGATTGAAAATCCATCTTCCAGTGCAGGGGGTGGAGGTTTGGTGCCTGGTCGGGGAGCTAAGTTCACACATGCTGTGGAACACCTAAGCCTGTGTGCCATGAGAGATTCTGCATGCCACGACTGAGACCTGATGCAGCCAAAAATAAAAAAATACATAAATATATATATTTTTAAAGATTCATGATAAAACCATCAGTTAATTTGGGTAAGGGACATCTCTGGCTTTAGAGGGTTGAAAAGAAATCTCACTGGAGTTAAATCTTGCCTGGAAACTTTGTTCTTGTCGTTGTTCAGTCATTAATTCTGTTGGACTCTTTGTGACCCCATGGCCTGAGGCACACCAGGCCTCCCTGTTTCTCACCATCTCCCGGTGTTCGCCCAAGTTCATGTCCGTTGAATCCATGATGCTATCCCAACCATCTCATCCTCTGTCATCCCCTTCTCCTTTTGACTTCAATCTTTCCCAGCATCAGGGTCTTTTCCAATGAGTTGACTGAGGCTATTTCTTCTGCTTTGCTTCCAGCGTCCTACTCCTAAATATGCTTATGCCTGGGAATCAGACCCACCATGGCTTAGAACCACTTACTACTGGGCTCTAAGCTTCTGCAACAGAAGAAATAGAACTTTTCTATACCAGAGGGGCATAGGGGTGAGTTTTAGGTGAATTTGCTTGGCACTGGTGTGAAAACTCTTCCTCCAAGTTTTCAGTTTGGACAACCCCTGCCAGAAGTGTCCCAGAAACCCCAGAGATGTCTGCACTGACAAGATAGCTTACCACTGCACATGCTAAGATTGTTTTGAGGCTGGTCTAGGATTAAACAAACTGGGATGGAAGAAGAGAAATGAGGGCTGTCCTGTCTGACTCACTGTACGGAGTTGCTGAGGGCATCTGTGCATGATGTAAGGTTCAGTTTCCTATTTGTTTGTCAGCCTGTTAAAGGACACTGTGAAATCACCAATGTCGTGCTTGTCCTTAGATGCTAAGTCATGTCCGACTCTTTGTGATCCCATGGACTGTAGCCTGCCAGTCTCCTTTATCCACGGGATTTTTTTTCCAGGCACAAATACTGGAGTGGGTTGCCATTTCCTCCTCCAGGGGATCTTACCAACCCAGGGATGGAAACTGTGTCTCCTACCTTGCAGGAGAATTATTTACCACTGAGCCACTAGGAAAGCCCTGAAATTATCAATAAGCCTGTCTAAATTTGAAAAGAAATGACAGCTCATCCATCATCTGGTCTCAGGGTTACAGTTAGAATTAGGTTTAAGGCTCTAAACTGACACCTTAGCCCAATGCCTCAACCTTCCCACTTGCATGCCTATGGCTGAATGAAAGTTCAAACACTAATTTTGCATAAGCTTCCCTTGACTGGGCTAGCTTCCATCTGAACGTGTGGTTATAATAACATCTAACTCAACTGGGTATTCAGTGAGATAACCGAGAGGCTGTGTCTGGCCCACTGTCTGTCTTACAACCTCTCAATAAACTGGGGTTTCTTTCTACTCAACTTCTTTTGTGCCCAACAAAACTGGGGGCACAGTGGGGTTAAAAACTGTCCCTTATGGCTTCTGATGTGGCTTTTTCATCTAACAGTTTTTTAGTCACTTTCTTGTAGATTATACAAAGCAAAACCTAAGGAACCTGGACACAGTACCAAGGGAATAGAACTAAAAGATTGTTACATTTTTTCACTCACTCTTCAATGTTGAAAATCAACATTTAAAATAACAAATCAGAAAAAAAAAATCACAACAGTAACATGAAAAAAACAAAAACTAATGAGATCGAAATAGGTAGAAACCACCAGATTTATTGGGCTTCACTGCCTGATCTAATCTTTGTTAGTTGACAGCCTGTTCTTTTTCAGGCCCAAGGAACCAAAGAGATCAGCGCGGGGTTTTGAATTTCAGTATCAGGAGCTCCTGACTTTGGGAAGACGAAATTTCGGAAATCCAGTCGCCAAGACACGCTTCTTATGATAAAATGCGTATAGAGGTGGGGGCTGGACACAGAAACCTTCGCCTGGACGGTGAGAGAACCCACCCAGCCCACCAACGCCCGGCCTGGCTCCCGAAGTAACGGAATCCGAGTCTCCAGGCCAGATTTTCCCTCTAGCCATTTCTGGCCACGCAAAGCGGAGCTGCGAGCACAGAGAAAGGATGTCTTCATGGGGTGGCCAGGAGCGCCGGAGGAGGAGCTGGCGCTGCAGCCGGGCCCCCTCGGGCCGCGCCCCGCCTTCTGCCGCCACCTGCGCGTCCCCTCCGGGCTCTCGCGCCCCGGGGCTGTGTGGGCTCTCCCCGCCGCAGCGGCGGTATCACCGCGTCCACCAATTAGAAGACTCGGCGTTTGGCTCCTTGGGGCGCGGGAAGAGCGGCAGGCGCTGCCGGTTCTGGCGAGCGGAGGGTGCGCCGGCGCGCGTCCCTCCCCGCCGCGCTCCCCGCGACGTTCGTGGAGGGGGGTACAGAACTGCTGTGACTTTTGAGGTCCGACTCCGCCTTCCGGCTAGCCTCCCGACGCGCCAGCTCGGAGAGAGGCCGGCGTGACCGGCAGGCCCCGAAGGCTCACTGCGTGGGCTCAGGACTTGGACCGTGTCCGGGAGCCCGCGGCGCTGTGCGCGCTGGTGAGTTTGGCGGCGGGGTGGGGTGTCCCCGGGCGCGAGGGGGCGGAGAGGACGTCTCGCTCTGCCCCTTCGCCCGCCCCCTAGTGCTGTCCCCACTTTAAGAGTAATTGAGACTTGAGCGTGACTGCGGAGCCGCGAGGATGCGGGCGCTGGCCACGGGCTATTCTTCAGCCCGGCGTGATGGAACGGGTCNATCCTCGCCAGCCGTCCGGAGCGCTTGGCTCGCACGCACGGCCCCCGGCTGCCCCGCGCCTCGCCGGAGCCCGAAGGGGCGCGGGTCCGGGGCGAGGGCCGGCTGGGCGTGTTTGATGGCTTCACTGAGAAGAGTCAAAGTGCTGTTGGTGTTGAACTTGATCGCGGTGGCCGGCTTCGTGCTCTTCTTGGCCAAGTGCCGGCCCATCTCGTTGCGCAGCGGAGACGCCTTCCATGAGATTCGGCCGCGGGCCGAGGCCGCTAACCTCAGCGCGCACAGCGCCAGCCCCATCCAGGATGCGGTCCTGAAGCGCCTCTCTCTGCTCGAGGACATTGTCTACCGGCAACTAAACGGTAAGCACGCGCGCGGATGCCCGCAGTGTTCAGCGTGGGCATCCGGTCCACCCCCGGGGGCCCTGCGCGCGGGGCGGGAGGCAGCCACCTCCTGGCTCCCGCGCGCTCCCCTTACTCTTCCTGCCGCGTCTCGGCCAGGAGGCCGGGGCTGCTGGAAGGAATTCCCGGCTTCTTTTCTGTGTTCCAGCTGTAAGTTTGCTTTTATCGTGGAAACACGTCAGCACAGCTGGCTCCGGGTCTCCGCGTGCAGGAATCATTACCTGGCCAGTTGGCCCCAAGTGCGGAAACTAGACGCGCGGCCGAATGCGACTGGAGGCGCAGGCGACTTAAGGGAGGAAATAGCTCTTACAGCTTAGTCTTTGGTGGGGTCGGACAGGGAGGGGACATTGGCGGGCTTAAACGTCTGCAAAAGTCGAGGCCTTAGGTCTGGAGCTAACGCGCTTCGGTAGTGCGCTGGAGGAATGTTATCTCTCTAGGAGGCAGCCTGTTCAGCTAATAACGAGGACCCCTCCCTTCCGGGCGCTGCCTCGGTGAAGCTGCTATTAAAAACTTCCGGATTCTCCCCGAGAGCTGCCTGAGGGCAATTGTTAAAGTTCGCGGTGGGTAGGGAAAGCAGGTTTTTACGGAGTGTAGGGAAGAGAGGTGTGCCATCCAATCAGTGACAGTTGTCAGGATCTGTCCCAGCTAAAATGTTCTCAGTGCTTCAGGAGGAGAGGGAGACTTTTAACACCCCCTGGTTACATCTGGTCCAGGAGCTGATGGATTATTGGACATTTGCTGCCCCCAAGGTCAGAATATTACTCACTGGAGTATGGGCAGCTCTCCAAGGTCCACACAACTGGTGTCCAAGGCAGATTCAAGGCTGCCATCTCCCTTCCTGAGCGTCTAACTCATGTTCTTACGGTAATTCCAGAGCTGTGTGTGCTAAATCGCTTCAGTCCTGTCCAACTCTTTGCAACCCCATGGACTGTAACCCAGCGGGCTCCTCTGTGCATGGGATTATCCAGGCCAGAATACTGGAGTGGGTTGCCATGTCCTTCTCCTGAGGATCTTCCCAACAGAGGAATTGAACCCGTGTCTCTTCTATCTCCTGCATTGTCAGGCTGGTTCTTTACCATTTGAGCCACCCTGGCAGCTCCAGTTCCAGAGCTACTGATAGTCATAAAGATAACTATCATAGTTATTGGTGAAGTTCTTACTGTGTGCCAGACACAGTGCCAAGAGGTTACAAGGGCATTATCTCATTGAGTGTTCACATCTGTCCAGTGTGGTTCTTTCCATTTCCCATATCAGAAATAAGACAAGAAGGCTTGGAGAGGTTAGTTAACTAAGTTGCCTGAGGTCCTGCTGCTGGTAAGTGGCAGAGTCTGGAGTCAGAACCCCGTATCTGGTTGACCAGAGAGCCTGTGTTTATGACAGCTTCCATTGAATGTCTTCTCCTAATTATAAGGAGTCTTCACTTTGATGATGTTAGTAAGACCCGGCTCGGCTTAACCACTGTCCTCCCTGCAGTTGGAGCTAGAGACTAGCCTGGTGGCAGGCAGGGAGAAGGATGTCACCATACTGTCTTCTTCCCACTTTCCAGTGATCCCTTCTGGGTCCTTCCAGGTGGGATGGGGGTCAGATTTGCAAGCATCCTCTGAAAGGACCCCTTGAGCTTCTTGATATCACTCAACAAGTATCCAGGGGAAGCCTTGAACTTGTACCTGCAGTGGGATGCTGCAGTCACACTGACTTCTGGCAGATAGCAGGGTCTGGCTGTGGGTGTGGACTTGCTGTAGGTGTTGTCTGCAGGGGTCTGGTGGGAGCTCTTCGCCTGTATGTCCAAGAACCAAGGCACAGAAAGAAACAAAAGCGCACAATTCATTTCTGGAGAAATTGGATGGTTATGGGATGGGCCTTATTATTTTATACAGATCTGGGCCGTGGACTGATCCATAGGACCCAAAAGAGCGCACAAGATAGCTGGTTCCCTTAAGTGTCAGACTGTACCCAAGGACACAAGTCATTTCAGTTAGGTAACAGAATATGATGTACACCCCATCAGTGCCCCAGATAGGAATAATAAAATGCTAAGTGGTATTTACCAAGTGCCATTGACATGCCAGGACTCGTTTGGTCTTTTCCAGCAACATTAAGGATAGATGCTGATACTCCCTTCAGGGGAGTATTCCCTGGCGGCTCAGACCGTAAAGAATCTGCCTGCAATGCAGGAGACCTGGGTTTGATCCCTGGGTTGGGAAGATCCCCTGGAGAAGGAAATCCCTAGCCACTGCAGTATCCTGGCCTGGAGAATTCCATGGACAGAGAAGCCCATTGGGCTCCAGTCCATGGAGTTGCAAAGAGTTGGACCCAACTGAGCAATTAACACTCCCCTTTGAGTAGCTTGCTCATAATCACCCAACTAGGGGGTGACAGAACTGGCAATTGAAGTTCTGACAGAACTGGGATAGTCTGGTTCCAGAATTGAGGTTCTCAGCTGCTTCACTGGCTTGTATTAATCTTTTTCTTTTTTTAATGTGGACCATTTTTAATGGTCCAAACAATAAAGAATTTGCTACAGTGTTGCTTCTGTTTTATATTTTGGTTTTTTGGCTGCAAGGTATGTGGGAGCTTAGCTCCCCGAATAGGGATCAAACCTGTACCCCTTACATTGGAAGGTGAAGTCTTAACCACTGGACTGCCAGGGAAGTCCCAATCGTTTGTGTGCCTCAGAGTCACAAAACTCCAATACTTTGGCCACCTGATGTGAAGAACTGACTCATTGGAAAAGACCCTGATGCTGGGAAAGATTGAAGGCAGGAGGAGAAGGGGACAACAGAGGATGAGATGGTTGGTTCTCGTCTCAGAGGATGAGATGGTTGCATGGCATCACCGACTCTATGGACATGAGTTTGAATAAGCTCCAGGAGTTGGTGATGGACAGGGAAGCCTGGTGTGCTGCTGTCCATGGGGTTGCAAAGAGTCAGACACGACTGAGTGACTGAACTGAACTGAGTGTCACATGGAGGTCCTTTTAAGATGTAGATTTCTAGGCCCCACCCACAGAGTCTCTGATTCAGGAGCTTTGGGGTCGGGGGGGCCTCTGACTATATATCTGACAAGCCTGTGGCCTGAACCGTGACCCAGAGCCCGCTGCTGCTTATGCCAGGCAGAGCAAAGAGGAAAACGCACTTGCCTGTTGGTGGGAATCAGAGTGAGGCCTTCGGAAAGCTAAGCGTTTGCTTCAGGTGGGCTGGGGTCCTGGCTTCTTTCCTTGTGTGTTCTTCTGCCCTGTAAGCGATTTCCCGGGGGCGTGGGGATGCCCACCACTGGGGACTGGTCGCCTGGGTTCGGAAGACGCGTTTTCTTGACTTGCAGCCTCTGAGGGGAAGCAGGCAGGAAGACTGGGTTTAGAGCTTTTCCTGAGCAAGCCAGGAATTCAAGCTGCCATTAGATAGATGTTGTCTTTCTGGCGGACAAGTGTGATTTGCAGTGACCTTCCCGCTCTCCACCCCACCCCACAGCGCTCCGTGCTCCGCCTGTGCGTGTTTCGGGTAAAGCGGATCCCACCTGTTGATTCTGTAGGCCTGCCCAGGTCTCCTGCTGCGGCGGGAGGGCAGCTTGCTCTGCAGCGTCCCCACCCTTGGAGACTGAAGGAGGACAAGGAAACCTTGACCTTGGTGCTCCTTACTGCTTGGGAATTAATGGAGGCCTCGAGAGAGCCAAGCACTGGGCGTACAGGAGGGGCAGGGCCACGTGGGTCCAGCCCCTTGGGTACCAGGTGGGAGCTGGTGATTCCATGATGTTCAGATTTCTCAAACCTTTCCTGGGGACTCTTCCCAAGTTCAGGCAGGAGACACAGCACAGCTATCTGTAGTGTTCTCTCACCCCGGAAACAGGGGTGTCCTGCAAGGGCCCCTCTGGGCTGGGGGGGATGCCAGGGGTGATCCAGATTGCCTCCTAACGGGCCCCTCTGCTAAAACTCTTAGTGCCTGTCTTTTGAAAAATGGTTGCACGCTGTTATTGTTTTGTTTTTCTTAATGCAGGCTGAGAAGGACCCTTTAAAGGGAAAGTGGAAAAGCAGAAGTGGAGGGGAAGGCACCCTGAGACGAGTTTGTCCTCTCCCCTCCAGACCGTCTCTCACCTCTGCCCTTCCATCTTTACCGTTGGGCACCCACTGCTACCCCCTTTCTGCTGCCGTGATGCCCTTTAACCCAAACCCCAGCCTCTGTTTTCTCACCCTCCTTTTCGGGCCTCTGGCTGTCTGCATGGAAAGCACTGCTTGCAAAGGGCCCAAGACCTTCCCAGAGTTTTGTGTTTCCCGAGGAACTGTGATCAAGCCTGGAGGCTGATCGTCAAGGCCGACCACTGTCAGCCCACGTTCCCCGCGCCCCACCCCCCCCCCTCGCCCNACCAGACTGACTAAAGGGCGCTAGAACCTTCAGAGGGGCCTGGAAGTGAAGCAGTTAGCCAGGTTAAAGACCAGCACGGTTCAGCATGCTTTTTGTGAATGTGTGATTTTATAACATACTGGTTTTATGTTCCTTTTCTCTCTAGAGTAGAATTAATTCATATTTTATCATGGAAATTTTAGAAAATCCAAAACCATTATGCAGAAGAAAATAATATTGTGTTAAAGTTTTTTTTTTTTTTTTTAATGGTGATTTTGTACTGACGTTAGGAAAACAAACGAAGGGACAGACAGAGTTCTTGATAGAATTCCCATGTAACTCTGTTCAGGGCTTTTGGCTGTCTGTCACCTTCTGAGGAGGTTATTTGTTTTCTGTCATTTTAGAGCTGAGAAAGGGGAGACATAGAGAATACTGTGTGACTTGGCCAGGATGACACAGACAGTGAGGGGCAGAGTCAAGATTCCAGAATATCACAGTCCTTTTCCCAGATTCAGCATCCCCCGATAGGTCAGGATGAAGGTGGTGAACGGTCATGTGCCCCATGCACGCCCTGAGCTCTGGCTGGTGACCTCATCCCTCATCCATGCCCTGGTGCAGGGACCCACA